TGGACAATTCCTTCTGGAATATTGTATATTTATAAGTCTTGAAGCTTCTGCCAGAATGTCACGTCCAGCCGATCACCGGTTGATTTATGGCGAATTTTCTCGCTGGACAGCGCAGAAAATCCGAGAGCAGTTTTTCAGAATTGCCTTCTCGCATCCTCGATTCTTCAATCTTCCTCCTCTTGGATTTCACCTCGTATACTTCGATCTACTAAACACGTGGCACTAGACACGTAATAGTCAGAATAACGGAAGAAAAGAAAGAAGGAAAGGAATACCGAAAGAGATCGGCCAACGGGTGGCCGATTCCGGCGAATTTCCGGCGACGGCGCGGTGGTGGCCGTGGGAGAGGGTGGCTGATCGAGAGAGGCAGCGGCTAGGGTTATGAACGTGTGTTCTCTTAGTTGTGTGTGTGTAAGACCTATAAATCAAGTATTTATATGTCTTGCATAAAACCCTAACGGGCTTAAGTTGGACCGGGCCCAACAGCTTAAGTTCGTTAGTTCTTTTACTTGCTTATCTCTCTCAATTCGATGATCGGAAAACTGTAACGATTACATTTTCGGAATCTTTATAATGTCCTCGTCATTACGAGTGCCAACTCTCGATTTCCAACTTTCCAAAAGTGGAAACCCTAATTCAGTGCACTTTCTAAATTTGGAAACTTCCCGATTTAGAAGGTTCACTAATACGTTCGCCTATTCTTTTCCTTTTCTTATTCTCATTCATAATTCCAAATTACGAATGTTGGACCCAATCATATTGACTTCCAATCATGCAAAGATAAACATATTTTACCTTTGACCGTTTATTCAAAGATCTCATGTGCACGAGCAGTGTGACCCTCGATGGTTCAGGTGTAAGCTAGCCGTGGGTCCACAACCCTTTGTGGTCAAAACTCGTCCCCTTAGAGTTACGATTAAGATGAAACTCGTTTCACCTTAATCACCCAACGAATCAAGATTGGCGTCTAGCAACTACGCGTCATGATTCCCTAGATACAAATGAAGTGCCTGCAAGAACCTTCAGATATAGTTAACGTACAGTACGGTCCCTTCGATACATATGTCCCGATCGAACTAGAGGCATTGGTTCATCGAGACCTCTTTATATGTTCGATGACGGTGCGATCGTTCCAAGTATTGTAATCGTCACGTGCATGACTTAGAGAATCGAATCCTCTAATCATCACTTAGTCAGCACTGGCCAGAGACTTAGAATGATTACAAACTATCAGAACACACAGGACATCCAAGACTATTCTAGCGATCGAATCCCCGACTACAATGCACAGACCTCCCACTAGATTTCGGACTGCACGAACACTGGCCCTTGGGATGGTCCTCGGTGGAACTCAGAGACAGGTCACGATACAGCTGGTCCTCTAGTGAAGTCACGGTGATGTCTAGGTCATAAGGACTAATGGTGTACAACTATACCATAGATATCTCTACTCGATTATTGGGAACCACTTAGAGATTTCTAGGGTGAGGGAGTTCAGTGAACTCGTCAACTTACGAGCACCCACTTATGCATGCCGATATCACAATACCGTTTACTGATGAGATGCAGTACACATACACTAAGTGCTAGTCTTAACGGGAAAGGCCGATATCCTCATTAGTGGCGTAACCCTTCGACTAGGAACACGTTTAACAGTTATAATACTTAAGTAAATATCTCACGATCCTAACGATCAATTACTAGTACTTGTAATAACTGTAAGGACTATATCTATGCTTGTGACAAAGGGACAAAGATATAGAATGCCAAGGTGTTTTATCATTAATACGAATAAAGGTTCGTTTATTACAATAATAAGTACGAAAGACCACAGCCACAAGTTGGCTTGTTGGTCACCTACTCTAACACTTTTGCGCATGTTTTTCTACATGTACGTTTGTGCATGTCCATTTGAGCGAGTGTGTAGTGAAGTCACGGTGATGTCTAGGTCATAAGGACTAATGGTGTACAACTATACCATAGATATCTCTACTCGATTATTGGGAACCACTTAGAGATTTCTAGGGTGAGGGAGTTCAGTGAACTCGTCAACTTACGAGCACCCACTTATGCATGCCGATATCACAATACCGTTTACTGATGAGATGCAGTACACATACACTAAGTGCTAGTCTTAATGGGAAAGGCCGATATCCACATTAGTGGCGTAACCCTTCGACTAGGAACACGTTTAACAGTTATAATACTTGAGTAAATATCTCACGATCCTAACGATCAATTACTGGTACTGGTAATAACTGTAAGGACTATATCTATGCTTGTGACAAAGGGACAAAGATATAGAATGCCAAGGTGTTTTATCATTAATACGAATAAAGGTTCGTTTATTACAATAATAAATGCGAAAGACCACAGCCACATGTTGGCTTGTTGGTCACCTACTCTAACAATCTCCCACTTGACCTAAAGCCAACTACCCATGAATCGCAATCCCATCGACTCTCGATGTTTCTCATGGACCGATCTCGGTAAAGGATTTGTGAAGGGGTCTGCAACGTTCTCTTCTGAGGTGACTCGTTCTACCTTAACTTCACCTCTATCAATGATCTCTCGGATCACGTGATACTTCCTCAGAATATGCTTCGACTTCTGATGAGATCATGGCTCCTTAGCTTGCGCCACGGCTCCGGTGTTATCGCAGTACAACGGTACTGGATCACTAGCATCAGGAATGACACCCAACTCTTGGATGAATTTCCTTATCCAAGTCCCCTCTTTTGCAGCTTCGGACGCTGCAATGTATTCCGCTTCGGTAGTGGAATCGGCCGTCGTGCTTTGCGTGGAACTCTTCCAACACACGGCACCACCATTAAGCGTGAATATAAATCCAGAATTCGACTTCGAGTCGTCCACATCCGATTGAAAACTAGAGTCAGTAAAACCCTCTAATTTCAACTCGGCACCCCCATAGACCAAAAATATATCCTTAGTTCTTCGCAAGTACTTGAGGATATCTTTCACGGCTTTACAGTGAGCCGGGCCGGGGTTAGACTGATATCTGCTTGTGACACTCACAGCATACGCAATATCGGGTCTCGTACATAGCATGCCATACATTATGCTTCCTATGGCAGAAGCATAGGGAGTCCTTTTCATCTCCTCGATTTCACTAGGTGTTTGCGGACACATAGATTTCGAGAGACGAACCCCATGGGACATTGGCAAGAATCCCTTCTTGGATTCTTCCATGCTAAACCGTTTCATAACGGTGTCTATGTACAGGCTTTGGGATAAGCCAAGCATCTTCCTTGCTCTATCTCTATAGATGCGTATTCCTAATACGTAAGATGCTTCTCCCAAATCCTTCATTGAGAAACGTGTGGACAACCATGCTTTCGTTTGTTGTAACATTCCTACGTCATTTCCAATGAGTAGAATGTCATCAACGTCAAGCACTAAAAATATCACTGCCCTTCCACTAACCTTCTTGTATACACAAGGTTCCTCCGGATTCTTCTCAAAATCAAACTCTTTGATAGTTGAGTCGAACCTAATGTTCCAACTACGGGATGCTTGCTTCAATCCATAAATGGATCGCTGGAGCTTGCAAACCTTTTGCTCACTTCCAGAAGATATGAAGCCTTCCGGCTGCGCCATGTAAATTTCTTCCTCAATATCTCCATTAAGGAAGGCGGTCTTCACATCCATTTGCCATATCTCGTAGTCGTACCACGCAGCTATGGCCAGCAAAATCCTAATGGACTTCAGCATCACGACAGGCGAAAAGGTTTCCTCATAGTCAACACCTTGCCTTTGAGTGTATCCTTTTGCTACCAATCTAGCTTTATAGGTCGATACCTTTCCATCAACTCCAATTTTCTTCTTATAGATCCACTTGCAGCCTATAGGAACAATTCCTTTGGGTGGATCTACCAAGGTCCATACCTTGTTGGAGTACATGGAGTCCATTTCGGATTTCATGGCAGTTAGCCAATGTCCCATGTCCGCATCTGATACGGCCTCATTGTATGTTCTTGGATCTTGTCCAAGATCAACATGATCTTCATCATTTTCGAGGAGGAATAACCTATCCGGCATTTTCCGAACTCTTTCGGATCTACGTACCGTAGGTTCAGGAGGTATATTAGTGGTTTGTTGTATTGGTTCTATTTCTTGTTCTTGCGTTTGAACTTCACTTTGTGGTTCTTGAACTACATCAAGTTCTATCATGCTGCCTTTTCTATCGGATAGAAACTCCCTTTCCAAAAAGGTGGCATTTCTTGAAACAAACGTCCTAGCTTCTTTGACATAATAAAACTCGTATCCCATTGAGTCTTCGGGATACCCCACAAAATAGCACAAGTCGGATTTACTATCCAACTTATCTCCCACTAACCGCTTCACATAAGCGGGACAACCCCATATCCTAATATGTTTGTAGTTGGGTTTCCGGGAATGCCAAAGTTCATAAGGTGTGGATTTAACTGCTTTGGTGTTAACTCTATTCAGCAAATATGCGGCAGTGCGAAGTGCATGACCCCACAAGTATGCCGGTAAGTTTGTGAACCCCATCATTGATCGAACCATATCTAATAAAGTTCGATTCCGACGTTCGGAGACTCCATTAAGTTGAGGACACTACAACACAAAACGTTATCCATAGCGCTCAAAAAATGCTATTGTAGGCTATCATAGCGCTTTTAAAAACGCTATGTCTGCCGGAGCTATAATAGCCCCTGATGTTTATATAGCGATTTTTGAACGCTATAGTATTTCGTTTTTTCATAGCATTGTTTTGACGCTATTATCCTCTCTACTATAGCACTTAATAAACGCTATTTCCATATTTTATAGCATTTCTCACGCGCTATTGTTTTGCCAATACCGTATGTCATTAACGCTATAACAAGTTCATTCGTAGCACTTTATTTGAGCTATTGTTTTTCCCCTTGTATATATGCAAAACTATTTTATATTTTTTTAAATATTTAATTTTTGTACAAAAATATTAAATAACATTCTTCAATTAAAACAATACATACATAATGATATTTCTATAAAATTCAAAATAATGTATAATATAAGAACAATCTGTAATATTTTACTATGATAGCAAATAAAAGAAAATTTACAAAATATTTGAATTTCATTTCAATACAATTCACTATATTACAGGAGGTCAAAACTCTAACTTATATAGTTACTCTAAAAAAGAACACTAAAGTCACAAGCACTAGGTCAACTCATCATGTTGCAACAACTCTGTTTTTCAACCTCATGTTTCCCCTAATACCTGTGCAGAAAAAAAAAAAAAAAAAAAAAAACTTAGTACATAGTAAGAACTAGGACATTCCTGCATAATTTATCATAAGCTACCAAATAACACAAATATTGATAGCAACAAAATGGGCCCAGAGAAATATTGAATCACAAACCAACAAGAATGAGTTTCAGAAAACAAAACAGTAGATACTTTATTTACATTAGAAAATACTAATTTCAACTAAAGGTAGAACCTGAAACGAGGTCACAACTTCATCATTAGACGTATCTCTACAACTTTATACATGGATAGTTAAAACATTTAAATAACATTAGAAAGATATAAACTCACATTTTTTTTGCAATTCTCAGCTTCTACATTGGAGCTATATCTATAAATATTTATACATGGATAATCAAAGAATATAAAAAACAACAACATCAATTTTTAAACTTACATCTTGTTGCAATGCCATCTTTTTCCAGTCGAGCCTCGACGATTTGAAATTGGTATGTCAGCGTTCATCCTTTTACTATTGTGCATTTCCCCTTTCTACTTCAAGTAACCATAAACGGTAAGCATCAATCAACTTCCTATGATTCACAATAGAGCATTATCAGTAACATTTAAATTCCCACCCAAAAGGTATTGCAACTTTGGTTATGTGTTAATACAATAAATGATCTTCAAATCTAAGAGGTAATACTTACACCCAATTTGCCAAGTTCTTAGCCTGAAATATATATAGAATAAAATATCAATCACTAACTAAAATAAATGTAGAATACGTACTTAATAATCAAAAGAAATATCGACAAACAAATTTACATGATCAATAAAAATAATTAGCTAGTCAAAAATCTTAAAACATAACTAAGAGAAACAGAACATAAAGCAAGGCATAACAAACAACTTAAACACCACTAAGTAGATCGCATGTACATAAAACTGACGACTCCTAGTTTCATAACACTGCCAACTATTTAAAAATGAAGGTAAACCACAAGCTACAAACTAAGGCTGGTCCTTTCGAGATGTGTGATAAGATCATCTTACTCATCATGATTACCGTGGATAATATATTGTGCATATCCTTTTCAGTAATCAATGGATATGCGAAACAACTACCACAACTTTAGGAGCTTATTGTAATCCATTGATAGTCTAGATAACCTTATGCAAAACAACTACCACAACTTCAGGAGCTTATTCAATGAGAGCCAACCATAAAATTTAAAAACACAATAACTTCTTGCATTAAAAAATATCTACATATTATACTTGAATAATACTATTATGATATCTCTAGAAACAGGAAGAATACTGATATAATCATAACCAAGCAAAAAGAACTTTGACTACTCAATTGCAATTTTTAACTCTGTAGTGGGCATCTTAAGTAGGCTATACATAAATTAATTTTATTGTAAATGGTGGAAAGAGAATCCTTGCATACATATGTAACAACCAGACGTACGGAGTTTGTCATTTTTTTTGGTTAACAATTATTTTTCTTTTTCTAGTGAGATATAGATTCCAGGATTTTTCCCAGATTATATATCGACATATTAATTTATTTCTCATACAACTTACAGGCTACAACAACAAACATGTGCACTCGTGAAAAAAATCTTAATAGGAATTAGGGTTTTTTTCCAATAAACTCAAATTGAGATAAATGTAGAAATTGAAATTAAAATTACCAGATATGGTTGGAAAACATAGAGAGGCGGCGGTGAACTCTATAAAGAGAGTGGGGGAGAGATACGATGATTCAGAAGCTTGTAGGAAGGGTTTCACGGCGCAACCGACAATAGAGCAACTCTTCTTGAGACAATATACCTGCCTTCACTTGAACAGAGAGAGAAATGCAAAACGAGTGTGACAAATCGACGGCCGACGTTAGAGAGACAGAGGTTTTGAAAGACGATGGATTTTTGGAATCAGAATAATCTGACGATAGAGGCAAGTGAAAAAATTTGGACTTAATATATCTCTTCTAGAGAAGCGCCTAAATAAATCATGTGCGCGTTCGTCAAGTTATAGCGTTTTTTTATTTTTTATAATTAATTATAGCATTTATAGAAAAAACGCTATAAAATTGTGCTATCAAAACCCAATTTTCTTGTAGTGGGAGTTCCCGGTGGAGTCCATTGGGATTGTATCCCATTCTCTTTTAGATAGGCAATGAACTCGATGCTCAAGTATTCTCCACCACGATCGGATCGTAGCTTCTTAATACTTCGTCCGAGTTGCTTTTCCACTTCGTGTCTAGAATCTTTGAACTTTTCAAATGTTTCAGACTTGTACTTCATCAAGTACACATACCCATACCTAGAATAATCGTCGGTAAAGGTAGCGAAGTAGTTATATCCACCCTTCGCACTAACACTTAGTGGACCACATACGTCTGTATGGATCAAATCCAAAAGACCCTCGGCTCGTTCCATTTTCCCTTTGTAGGGTGACTTGGTCATTTTCCCTTTAAGGCAGGATTCACAAGTTTGTAGTGATTTCACGTCCTCCAAAGAGAACAATCCTTCACTGACAAAATCGTTCATCCTTCTTAAAGAGACATGACCTAATCTAGCGTGCCAAAGTTGTGCGGGGTTTTGATCTATCTCCTTACGTTTTGCTGATATAACATTAATAGGTATTTCATTTGGATTTTGTTCATACAAGTTGTTTAATAGTCGTCCTTTGCAAATTAAATTCTCATTCTTTTGTATAATGCAAATCGAATTTCCAAAAACAAAAGTAAAACCTTCAATATCTAATACAGGAATAGAAATAAGGTTTCTAATGAGCGACGGAACAAATAAACAATCGTTCAAAACAATAGGAAAACTAGAATCCAAAACATTTAAGTAAATTGTGCCAATGGCTTCAGCAACAACTCTTGCTCCATTCCCCATCCTTAGGTAGGTCTCACCCGCTCTAAGTCTTAGACTTCTTGTCATTAGCTGCAAATCATTGCACAAATGTGAGCCACAGCCCGTATCCAATACCCAAGAAGAAGAGTTGACAGACAAATTTACGTCAATGAAATACGTACCCTTTTCAGAACCTTTCTGCTTTAGGTAAGCCTTGCAGTTGCGGCGCCAATGTCCTTTCTTTCCACAGTGATGGCAAGCATCATCAACTTGCTTACCAACCTTTGCTTTGGGGCCCCCACTACCTTCACCCACTTCGAACTTGCTGTTTGGGAAGGGAACTCTTTCCTTTCTCTTCTTTTGGAAAGAACTCTTCTTTCCAGAAGTAGCAGCAATGAGAACAGACTTCTCTTTCTTAATGGTGGACTCGAAGCTGACCAACATGTTCATTAACTCATCCAAGGGAGGATCTAGTTTGTTCATGTTGAAGTTCACTATGAACGATTCATAGGAACTAGGAAGGGACAACAGGATCAAATCCAACTAGAGCTCGGCCGGGAGGGTGACATCAAGATTCACTAGCTTTTCAAGGAGAGTGATCATTTTGAGACAGTGCTCGTGGACCGAAGTCCCTTCGCGCAGTCTCGCTGTGATCAACTCCTTTGTAGCAGCGTACCTCGATGCCCTAATATTCTCACTATACATGCTATCGAGATGAGCCTTTATATCGAAAGCATGCATGTGAGACTCATATTTCCTCGCAAGCGCGGGCTCCATGGCGGCTATCATATAGCACCTAGCATGAGTGTCATCTTTCTTCCAAACTTCATAAGTTTCCTTTTCAGCATCAGTCGTTGTGGCAGGTATAGTGGCGGGAAGTCTCTCGTTCAAAACATAGAGACGCCCCTCAACAGTTAGCACAAGCTTAAGACTACGCAACCAATCTAGGTAATTAGGGCCATTGAGTTAATTGTCGAGGATTGACATTATGGGATTCTTAGACATGATTATCTGAGACATATAGAGAAGAGGATTATTAGAGATTCGCGTTAAATGAATGTTACAATTAAATGTTTGGACTTATGTTATTTAATTGTTCTCCCACTAATATTATCGAGTTCCACTTCCCTCTAGTAGACAAACGAGAAAACTGATTTTTCTTAATGGGCTTTAGGTCCAATAGACAAATATAACCCGTAGTTGATCTAGCCCGATTATATTTGCCCAAAGGTAGATCACAATAAATCATATCCACAATATGACCCTAAATTAATTTTCCTCACACTTGATAATGATCTAAGTTAATCTCACGAATATCAAAATCGTCGTGTGTCAAGTCTAACCTACCAATCAAAGATGCTCATAGAACTTGATTATGCCAAACTAATGCAGTCCCTAGTTAATCTAGCCGACCACGTTAATTCAACATAACCCTTTTCTATGGCTACCTTCGTCAATATGTCAATTGAATTACAGCTTACTCTACTATAGCACTCCCCGCTAACACGGCTTACTGCACTACAGTAAAGGGCTACACATAATCCAACTGTTGGCAGAAGGAAAGAAATAACTCAACAGATTGGGTCATTCTTTATAGCTTGAAATGATTCTCAATTAGATTAAGAATGAGGGGTTTTATTAAAAGTTTTTTTCTCATCAGAAGGTTCGGATTGGTCTATGTGATTCCTACATCTATGTTCTCTAAAGGTATATGGAAACGCATATTGTCCTAAGTGGAACATACGACCTAACTATATAATTAATTACATTAATTAATTATCGGGTTTTTCAAAATAATTATAGAACCTCAACTAGCATAATCATTCATATAATGTTGAGGTACTACTAATTAAGTTGAACTTATAATCAATATTATATATGTGTTCTATTAATTGAAATCAATTTAACAATTTAAATCATTTTGATTAATCTAACACCTATTTACTAAAATAGATGATTGTCGATCCAATTATCTAATTGGGATTAATTGAAAATAATTTTCCAAAAATTAAAATCAATTTGTTTTAAGTTTAATTTTAGAAATCTGAAATAAATTTTTTTTTTTATTTTTTTTATTTTCAGTGAACCGGTTCTGTCCGGTCCAGCTGACCCAAATCAGTGGGCCGGGTCAGTCGGACCGGGAACCGGTCTGACCGACCCGAATCCACGTGGATTCGGTCAACTAAATCGTACACAACCATCGAACCGGCCGGTTCGACCGGTTCGATCCGAACAATTAAAAAAAAACCGACGTTTTAAAAATAATTTCAGATCCGATTTTCCAATTTTAAACAATTTTAAAGCTGGAAAAATTCTAAACAATATTTCAAAAATATTTTAAACTTACGAAAACTCCCAATTACATAATACAACAATCAATACTTTAATAAATCGAACATGCATAAAATCATAGCATATTATACGACGCAATCAATTACGCAACGAGCTTTGATACCACTGTTGGGTTTCGGGCACGCATACGCAGCGGAAAACAAAAATTTAATGTGATTTAAACGACTTTAAAACACACAAGTACATGCCCGACAAATTAAATCAATTAATTGCGTACCTTTGCGCTTCCAGCGAAATTAAAAACAACATACATGCTAAATAATTTAACCGAATTTAAATCAATTAACATGCTCGCGTTTAAACCAATTAACATGGTTGCAAAGATTAAAACGATTACACATAATCACGTAAAATCATACGATAGCAAACATGAATTCATAGTTTAAACATAAACGAATCGAAACTAGGGTTTCGTGCATTTACCTCTTGAAGCGTGAGGTAGGAGCGTTTAGCAAGTCGAGACTGCTACGGAAACCAATCCGTACAATCGGGGCAGCAGCGGTGCAGCGGCAGCAGCAGCAAATCGGCCACGGCGGCGCGTGAGGTACACGCGCAGTCTTCCGGGGCAGCGCGTGGGGCAGCGTGCGGCTTCGGCTCGTGCGCTGCTCTTCGATTTCTCGATCTTCGATCTTCCTCCTCTCGGATTTCACCTCGTATACTTCGATCTACTAAACACGTGGCACTAGACACGTAATAGTTAGAAAAACGGAAGAAAAAGAGAAGGAAAGAGACTACCAAGCCAATCGGCCGATCAACGGCCGATTCCGGCGAAACGGCGGAGTGGGCGGCGGTGTTGGCCGTGGGAGAGAGAGGCCGAGAGAGAGGGGTGGACGGCTGCTAGGGTTAGGGTTGTGTTGTGTTGTTGTGCAAGACCTATAAATCAAGTATTTATATGTCTTGCATAAAAACCTAGCGGGCTTAAGTTGGACCGGGCCCAACAGCTTAAGTCCGTTAGTACTTTTACTTGCTCGTCTCTCTTAATTCAATGACCGAAAAATTGCAACGATTACATTTTCGGAATCATTATAATTTCCTCGTCATTACGAGTGCCATCTCTCATTTTCCAACTTTCCAAAAGTGGAAACCCTAGTTCAGTGTACTTTCTAAATTTGGAAACTTCCCGATTTAGAAAGTTCACTAATACGTTCGCCTATTCTTTTCCTTTTCTTATTCTCATTTATAATTCCAAATTACGAACGTTGGACTCAATCATATTGACTTCCAATCATGCAAAGATAAACTATTTTATCTCTGACCGTTTATTCAAAGATCTCATGTGCACG